TCCGGAGACCTAAATCACAAATCACAAAAATGTACGACGATTTCTTTACTCTCATAATATTTCAAAGATTTTTCAAACACTTCTTCTACTCTTTGTTGTGCTTATGCCAATTTTGGTGGATGTTTATTGTCTACTTGCTAAGAAAAACCGGTTTATAGGGTATTGTAAAATTCGTTTGAAATTCCCGCGCAAATGCCCGCAGTGAAACGGACATCGGATCCGTGTTGGAGCATGTTTTTGAACGATCACAGAATGCGTATATAATTGAATTATAAGAGGAAAGGTGGAGAGCTTCAACATTCTTTTTGTGGAAAAAGCGGTCTTAATTGAGATTGAACTCCGCTCTTCTCCGGACCCATAGAATTTCCGCTTTGCTTTCCACGAAAACGAATTCCAGCTTGCCTTCCGGAGACCTGCCGCCGAGGTCTGTCACAGGTGTCTGGACCAGAATTTGCGCGCTAGCCAATTCCAAATGTCTACTGTAGTCCAAACAACTCTGCCGACTTACAGCTATCCAAAATTACATGGGAAGCTTAACTATGCTATTTCAGCTTCGCTGCAAAATCTACACAAAACTGGAAAGTTGGCGTTTTGATCAGAAGGCTTAGATTTTATGAGGAAATCGCGATTTAGTAAACGAAGTGGCTCGAAAACAATTAGCTTTCAATTTCTTTCTTAAAGCTTCATCTTAGGCATTGAGAGTTCAATTTAAATCACTAAAACACTCATACCAACTGATGCTTCTTTGTCTGTGCTGTGAAATAACGTCAGTCAGACGAATCCATTTACGGATCCTATTGAAAATCACACAGGTGGTCAAAATAATAGAAATTTGTGCCTGTTCGAGCTAATGTTTTAGTAGTGATGTGCCCGGATGCTAATCTCACCCGAACAGTGGTATGCGAAACCTCCCGAAACCAGCAACGTTGCAAAGTGCAGAGGTATAACGAAAGTTACGAGTTGCATTCCATAACATTTAAAGGAGTGAAAATGATCTTTAAGAACAATTTCCGCTGCTTTTCAGATAACAAAATTTGAACTTTCCAAAATAAAATGTTTTTTAAAAACTTAAAAAGCAAACCTCCACTACAGCTTTGTGGATGATGTCGTCGACGTAAAGGTTTCCCACGTTAGACACTTCTTTTAAGTCGCAATTTTCTGTGAAGAGTTGACTAACTCCAAGTTGTTGCAGTAGTTGTTTCATTTGCGGTTCGTATGTGAGCTTGAATTTTGGGATTGTCACCTAAAAATCTTCTTTGAAATTGATTTAAAACTACTTTTAAGCGGTATCATCTTACGTTTACACAAGACCTAATCGCATTCATTTGCAGTCTGGTTAGAATTTCACCGGTCAAGCTGGTTCGAAAATCCTCAAACTTCACTCCTTCCGATGCGAGGAAAATGACGAATTTGTATTGGTTGTCCTGTAAGCTCTTACAAAGAATTCCCTCACATATAAGATCTAGCCAGAAGAAATAGCAGTACCTTATAGGGTAGTACCAAAACTTCAGCTTCATCTTCCTTGTTATATCGGCATTCCTTGAGTTCAAAGTACCGCATGAACAATTGCTGAATTAAATGTTAAACATTCTTAACTGATCAGAAAAATACTCAAAAATAACCGAAAATCTGTTCTATGTTTTTTGTTACGCTTAAAATAAAGAAGGTACGCGGTGATAGCTTAATTCGGTTTTTCGAGGGATGATATGATTTGTTCATTTCGCCTGTTTAATTGATTTGTCAATCTTTGACTTTCTCTCTCGCTGCTCACTCTATTTAAAGGGTAGCATAAATTTGTTTTATTATTTAGAAGACTTAGCCATATATTTTAAAGAAACTTCTGTAACTTGTTGGATACCAAAAATTTTTCCATGATAAGTACTTCCTTCAATGGCGAAGGCTTAATTGATCTTAGATTTTCTCAAATATATCACTTACGTTGACCACGTCTGGGTTATATATGTATAACAGCAGAAAGCGACAGAACCTTCGAGAGTCAATCAAATGATTTTCGAAAACGTTCACCAGCAAGACCGTAAAAATTATAACTATCAGAAAATCTTTGCTTTGACCTTAACAAATTTAAGAAATTACTGTACATTTCTGTTTTTTATTTTTAGACCTGGATTT